AATAATTAAGATGATATTAAATATTTTATTTCTTATATATTGATTATAATTACATAGTCAATTCTCAATTTCACCATCATTGGATATAAAGATTAACATATATTATCATTATAATTAGGAGTCAACAAGTTAAGTATTAAGACTTTGAAGAACATATGTACCTATATCTAGAAAGTCTTTATGAAAAAATATTATTTTTATCAACATTTTCTCCAGAATTGATCACTAAGAACTCTTAAAATGATTCAAAAATTTTCTTGAAATGAACTCACTCGACAAAGTCATATATAATAATTATCCACATACAATCACTTTCATGTATTTATAATTTTCATTGCTTTACATCTTGTATGACTTGTATGCCTCTAATGAGTGCTTTTATTCAATCTTAAATATGATATATATATCTCCACTGTAACTATTTACACGTGTATAGATAGTTTCATAGAGAACTTTACAATTAATAAAAATACAACATATATATCATAGCTTGAACATGTATGTATATGTAAGAGTTATCAAATATATCTTCATATGCCATGATAAAAACAATTTTAAAATTAAATATGTTTTAAAATTTGAAATGTTCATATGCATAGAAAGAGGAAGATAACTTACTCATGCTTTGTAACATTTTGTGAAAATATTTTTTTAAACATGTGTAATCATTCTTTAATATTTACCTTCAGTTTAATAAATGATAGATAATGTATTTATATGGCTACATGCTATATTTTTTGTAACATAAACTCTATGGACTATAATCTTTAGAATTATAGAAAAAAATCTCTCAAACCTGGCAATTTTTTTTAACTATTAACTTTTAGGGTTGTGGTAGTCAAAACAATTGAATTAATAATAAAGAGGACCATCAATTGATGAAGTTTATATAATTCATTAGGGCCATAAATTATCCTTTCGCATGATAGTGATAATAAAAATGGAGATAACTTCTAGGCATATAATAACAAAATTAACCATGACTTAAAGCCATATAATTATAAAATCAAATGCTTAAAATCAAATATGATTGTTGCCATGTAATCAAAAAATCAAATATGGCTTTTGAGCATATAATTTATTATAACCTTAAATTTATCATTATAAAATAATAAAAAAATTAAAATGATATATGGTTTCTTGCCATGTAATCACATAATCAAATAATTAATATGGCTACCAATTATCTTATTGCAAAAATATTGAGTTGAAGTTAAAAAAAAAAAGAAAAAAAGAAAGAAAGAAGAAAGAAAGCACATGTAAGTGTGTATTTGCGTGTACGCGTGTGTGAAGAAGCAACGCTATATATTATAAACAACATATATTTATTAGAAATTGAGAGGAACGCGCGATCTACATTAGTAAATTGGTAACTTCATATTATTATATAATAAAAAATAATAGGAAATTGAGATATTATTAGAACAAATGAAATAAACAAATCAAGATATTGGTAATTATGATTCTCGATTATAAAAAAATATTTGAATAAAATAACAAATCATCTTAAATGTAAGTAACTTCAGAACCTACTTTATACTTTATATGAATAGCTTCAAAAACTATAAATTTTAAATAAATAAATTGTTTTAATTGTAGATTAATTCAGGATCTATTTTATATTATACGGAAGTAATTTCAGAATTTACTTTTTTAAAATTATATATATAGATGGGTAAATGAATTAATTAGTCCATACTTGAAGACCGTCACTGTAGTGAAACTAATAAATCCAGACACGCACGTCAAAATAGAGCCAATTAATCTTTATGTGTGTGTGTGTAGAAAAAAATTTTGGCAAGGTAAAAACATGTTTCTTTACACACACACACACACGCACACATATAATTTCCATTTTTTTTTTAAACCTACAGCTTAATGAGATATAAATACTATTCATATCACCCATCCAGACGCATATTTTAATTAAATAAATCCTGTACGTGTTGATCATTAGCAAAAGTGATATTACTTTTTATAGGTATATTTGCACAGATTCATAGCCTCAGTTTTATGCATAAAATTGCACTTTGTTTTTTTTTTAATTCAACATAATTAAGAGTAAAATTAAATATAAAAGAATAGATCATTATTGGGTCATTGGGATATATATCCTGATGACATGTAATTGAAACATGATTCATTGTACTGGAAACGAAATATGATTCATCGAACCGTCGCATAATTACGACGGTAAACATGAACATTATAAGAAAATTAAGCCGTGATGACTTGTCACAAACACAAGCTTTTGTTATCCATATCCAAATTTAATTGAAGTCTGTCCAAATTAAGTTTTATCATATGCACCCGTCTATGATTAGCATAAAAAAAACACATCAACAAAATTTATTTTATTTTTATAATAAAGTATAATAAATCATCTTTAACAAATTAATAAAAAATAAGACAAATGAATAAATTACCTTTTAAACTTTATGTTTAGTGATATTATAGACTTTGAAATCCTTTATTGTGTAAATTATTTCTTTTATTTTTTAAAAATAATATAATCTAACCCTTGTTATTAACAAAAGTTAACATCGATAATTAGTCAACAATAAAAAAAGGACTTAAAAAAGTGCAGAAAATAACAAAAAAATTTTATCCATTTTTTATAATTTGTTTGAAAATAAAATAATATTTTTTAACAACTTAAATTTTTCAAGAATTATCTATGGGAGATATATAACTATTCAATGCATATACATTAGGAAAAAATATTCTAAATATAAAAGAAGTCTTACTAAAGCATAAAATTATTTTGAATTGGTGCTAAAAATAAATTGAATTATCACTTTTTACTATTAAGAAATATATTAATAGGCTGAAGCATGCATATGGTACTTTAATTTTACCTAATGTTTTATATTAATTATTTAATTTTATAAAATATTCTTTTAGTATTTTAATTCTAACACTGTTAGTTTTATTATAAAAAATTTATACATTCAACTTTTAAACATTGACAAATCATTTTTAAATTTTATCATATTAAGTTTAAATTTTTAAAATTAACAATGATTGATATTATTTGCCAGATGAGTGTGTCCTTAAAAATTATGATAAACCTAATTTTAAATTAAATGGTGAGTTCTTGAATTTTTTACCACAATTCTCCCGGATACAAGTACTTAAAAATAAAAGGAATGAAAAAATAAATATAGGGAAACATTCAAGATTTGTACGGTAAGAGTTGATATGATATCAATATTGATAATGATGATAAAAAAATTAAAAGAAAAGTGTTGAGATATTGTTATTACTATTTTACTATGAGTTAGGGCTCTATTGATTGTTAGAGAATTCACTATTTTCTACTAAATGTGTGACATGTTAAGGAAACTATATCAAATTTGTTTAAAAATAAAGTGCTTCATATTATCAATCCAAGTGTTGAAGCATTTAGAATATTAGAGTTGTAATTGTTGAAAATGTTGGAGAGTGATATGTGGAGACTTCTCTTTTAAAAGCATAAAGTGCTTGTTTTTTTTTAATTTTATATTCCAATTTTTAGAGTCATTGGTTATAATTTTTCTCAAGTTTCTCCACTTTCCCACTCTATGGAGGAGTCAAAATCTTTCTTATTAACCATCCCTCTTTTAAAAGACAAAATATCTTCAGCCAAAATCATCATTTTTAGTCCAAATATTTGGGTTTGGAGTAAAAATTAAGAGAAAATTACATATAAATTTCATAGAATAGACTTATTTATAAATAAGTCATGTGAAATTTAAAAACCACAATTAAATCTCTTAAAACCTGAGTGTAATTTGAAATTAGGCTGCAAATACAATAATACCCTTATTAAACATATATTATATCAAATAAATAATTAATTTATATTTATATTAGCAATTTACTACTATAATTTTAACTTTTTACAAATATAATTTTATATATCTAATATTTAGACAATCATACGTTATTAATAAAGTTTAACATTAATTATTTATAACTACTTCATCAGTAATTTATAATTATAATTTTTACTTTTTATAACTGTAATTATATTCAATTGTTTAACTTTTTATAACTGTAACTTCATATGTTCAATAATTATAATTTAACTATTGAACATATAAAGTTATAGTTATAAAAAAATTAAACTTAATTTAACTATTGAATATATGAAATTATAGTTATAAATTACTAATGAAGTAATTGTAAAATATTTGACTAATATAATATATATGTATAATAGGGACATTATTATCTTTTTATCATAATTTCAAATTACACCCTAATTTTAAAGGATCTAGTTGTAATTTTTAAATTTTATAAAACGTATTTATAAATAAGTCTGTTTTACAGGACCTATATATAACTTTCTCAATTATATTTTAGTCTAAACAAACATAAAAAAATAATCATTTCAAACCAATGATATTAAATGTTAAATGACTGAATTTTTTTTTATAAAATTAAGAGATCAAATTAAAATTTTATATATAGTTAGATGATCAAAAATACACTATAACCTAATTAATATAATAAAATTTTAATCATATCGTCAAACTTGCCCTTAATTTAATCAAATGTGTTGGATAAGTTGAAATTATTGACGTAAATTAGGTTATAATAGAAGAAATCTTAGTAAACGCCGCTTTAAAATTTTAAAAAGACATATAAAAATATAAAATGATACAATTTTTAAAAAAAATTTACATTTTAAACTGAAAGAGCACATAAAAAAAAATGTAATGTTTCAATTCAAGAACGGACCTATAAATTATAAAGTGACCAATAAAATGATAAAAAAAACATGGTGTCTTGTATAAAATCATAGCAGTGTTTAAGAATGGAATCATGGAAATAAAATTAATAATTATATACATTTTTTTTTTATCTTGGACCAGAAAAACATAGACGGTTTTTTCAATCATTCTTTATCAGTATGTTATTCCAGCTGCAATTTTTTCTTTTTCTCCCACCCGAAGTCTACGCTCGCCTGTGGACACCCCACCAACCTAAAATAAAACATACGCAGAGGCGCGCACAGAGAGAGAGAGAGAGAGAGAGAGAGAGAGGTTCCCCATAAGGGAAGCAGCCAATTTCACATTAAACAATAATGATCCAAACCGATGTAGTTTGAAACAAATTCTGCAGCCTTCGGCATTATTTTCTTCGTCTCTTCACGCCGATTTCGTTCAAACACAACCTGCCTTCTCTCTCAGTCAAGTGTACGTTTTGTCGGATTTCAGTTCTCCAACTCCATTATGGTCCTTTCGCTTCCTTCTCCTTCCCTTCCCCCTTTTTAATGCCACTCACTAACTGTTCCGTGCTCTCTGGGTTTTCGTCTTCCCATATTATATCACCTCCATTCTCTGAACCTGCATTTATCACCTCAACCGATTCGCGTAATATCAGCGGAGCCGCGCCCGCATGAAACTTCTTCAATGCTCATTTAAGGCTTTTCCTCTCTTGGAATTTGAGTGTTCATGTAGAGACAGATAGAGTCTAATAGTTTCCAACTGAGCAGAGCCGCAAGAGCAGCCCTATCAGGTGGCTCTGCTGCTCATATTTTATTTAATATCTCTGTTTTTTTTTTGCCCCTCTCGATTCAGAAAAGGAAACGAGTACGCGAGAAAGCCAGCTATAAAGTAGTCCTCTGCTTTCATTCGTTTCTCTCCGTATATCCTGAGGTTGAAATTCTCGCCGACTCGCCAACATTGACCAAGAGTGGGTTCCTTTTTCTTTAGTTTGGTATCTTTCACAGCGCGAAATCTCTCTTGCACCCTGTCAATTTCTCTCTCGTTCGTTTTGAGGTTTGGTATATGTCTGATTGAGTTCTTTAACTCTGCAAGTTTTCCCCTTTTGTCAGATCTTTATAATCTCAACACAATGTCGCACCAGAAGCAAGCCGAAGAAGCCATAATGCCGAGCATGAATCCGACGCCGACTGAGCGTGACGGGAGAGAGGAAAGAGAGAAGGGCGATGCCGATACTACTGTTTTTACTTTCAAATCCTTTCTCTGGCATGGCGGGTCTGTCTATGATGCCTGGTTCAGCTGCGCTTCGAATCAGGTAACAACCTACGAATCCACAAATGGCCCGCCTCGTAATTCATATTCTTAGGTACGAGATTACGAAGCGGTTCGTTTCTGTGCTCCGCAGGTTGCTCAAGTTCTGTTGACGCTGCCGTATTCTTTCTCTCAGCTGGGAATGCTTTCGGGCATCATATTTCAAATATTCTATGGTTTCCTTGGAAGCTGGACTGCTTATTTAATCAGCATTCTGTACATCGAGTACCGAAGCCGGAAAGAGAAAGAAAACGTCAACTTCAAGAACCACGTCATTCAGGTCAACAAAAATTTTCTAATAATCTCTTCTTTAATCCGAACTCAGAACCATCTTACTCTAAATATCTGTTTTCTGTTCGATACTTCAATTTAACTCATGGCAGTGGTTCGAAGTGTTGGATGGCTTACTGGGTCCATATTGGAAAGCTATCGGACTGGCTTTCAACTGTACTTTCCTCCTCTTTGGCTCTGTTATCCAGCTTATTGCCTGTGCAAGGTCCCTGTCTTTTTTTTTTTTAACCCCAGACTTATGGGTTAACATTGTTTTTAGATTTTTAGATGATTAATTTTAATGGGTTTTGTGGATTTTTGCAGTAATATATACTACATAAATGACAACCTGGACAAGAGGACATGGACTTATATTTTTGGAGCATGTTGTGCCACCACCGTTTTCATACCATCCTTCCACAATTACAGGATTTGGTCCTTCCTTGGCCTTGGTATGACGACTTACACCGCTTGGTACTTGACCATCGCATCTGCCGTACACGGTCAGGTCTGCCACGCCAACAGCGGTTTTTTTTTTTTCCTGGTAACTCGTCTCTTCAGTTGTAGCCGCTGGATCTGAATTTGCCTTGAAACTTTGTCGTTTCAGGTTGAAAACGTGACTCACTCGGGCCCAACCAATCTGGTTCCGTATTTCACTGGCGCCACCAATATACTGTACACTTTCGGTGGGCACGCCGTCACAGTGTAAGCCCTTCTTTTTAAGCTTTTGCTCATTGAGCTGTGGACAAAGCCAATCATGATACTGTGATGTTTATGATTGTCTTGGACTATGGTTCAGAGGGAGTAATAATAATATGGAGAAATGGACCCCCCAATGAGATGCAGCTTTTGCCTGCGTTCTTGCTGGGGGCTTGGAAATAAGACAAATGGTAAATCTTGCACTTTTTGAAACACTCGCTAGTGTCTTGTCTTCAAGTTATACTCTGTCACTGGTGATATAAAAAATCATAAACTTCAGATTTTGCGTTTCCCTCCAGACAATGGTAGATTCTCTCTAGAATTCACCGTGCCAATAATATTTTACTGCCAGTCTGCCGCACAAGAGAATTTCTCAGACCGCCCCCAACTGGGGACTGGGGGGTCTGAGAATTTCTCCGAAGGATGTCTTATCCTTTTCAATGTGAATTTCAAGATGCTTTCATATATTACAAAAGCAGATTGTCTGGACATGCAAGAGAAGAAATAAGCCCAAAATATGGGTGTACAGTGTATGCATCTCATCATATGTGGCCTGGTTTATTCAGAATTCTCTTAGTCTCTGGTATTAATGTAAGTAGAGACCAGCTCTTATGTAGAGGGACGAGTGAAACTGCGCATTTACAATTTCCTTTTTGGCAAGAGTTGAATGAACTGATTTTGAAGGATGAAATGTTGATTCAGCATTATTGATTTATATGGTATTACAGGGAAATCATGCATGCAATGTGGAAGCCTCAGAAGTTCAAATACATCTATTTATTTGCCACCATTTATGTGTTCACCCTCACCATACCATCCGCTGCTACCGTCTACTGGGCCTTTGGAGACCAACTCACCAAGCAGTCCAATGCCTTGGCGCTCCTCCCTCGCTCCGGCTGGCGTGATCTCGCTGTGATTTTAATGCTCATTCACCAGGTCCATGCACTTACACTTCTGTAACTCAATTGAACACCATGTGCTTGACAGAATGACTTTAACAAATGAAAAGTCGAGTTGTGGCTTAATCTGTTAGTAACTGATGGCTATCTACATAAAATTGTGCAGTTCATTACATTTGGGTTTGCTTGTACGCCATTGTATTTTGTGTGGGAGAAAGTAATAGGAATGCATGACACGAAGAGCATATGTTTGAGGGCTCTTGCGAGGCTGCCTGTTGTTGTACCCATATGGTTCTTGGCTATCATTTTCCCTTTCTTCGGCCCCATAAACTCCGCTGTGGGGGCTCTTCTGGTCAGCTTCACCGTCTACATCATCCCTGCCATGGCCCATATGCTCACTTTCAGGTCTGCCTCCGCACGTCAGGTAAATGGTCCAATCTCTCCCACATCTATTCCTAACAGTTTCACTGTGGCCACCCTGATTTTTCCTGCTCCTAATCAACTATCACAACTAAATGCATTATTCAATGAAGCATTTAACTACTAGCAGGCAAATTTTAAGTGCCTAGCATCTTGTCAGGTTCTAAGATATCGACTTGTGATCTCAAAACCAGAGATGGAATGAATAGGGCTGGAATCTGTATGTTGTGAGAAAACAGTGATGTCCAGTTATGCATTGGAGACAGATGACAATGCCTAACTGGATTGATATAGGAAAGCAGCTGAACTGAAGAGATGGTTGAAATAAATTAGCGGAGTGTATAATTGGGAGGATATGATATGAGTCCAGCTCTAGTGATTTAACTTGGAAATGACTTCCAAGGTCCCAGGCAGTGAGAGTCAGCTGCCCCACAAGTCATAATAACAAATTATTCAAATTTGAAATTTGAGAGAGACAAGAAGTTGGTGTCATTTCTTTGTCATTCAGTTATATGCTTTAGTCCTGGGCCACCCCAGCCTTCTCAAGCGACCCTACTCATAACACTCAAAGTCACTCTCTCACTATTCTCATCCCTTGTCCTAAGGCAATGAGATTGAGCTGGAACTACTCAATAGTCATGACATGTTTGCGTTTGAACATGCAGAATGCAGCAGAAAAGCTTCCAGCATTCATACCAAACTGGACGGTGATGTACGTGGTGAATGCGTTGTTGGTGGTGTGGGTTTTGGTGATAGGGTTTGGATTTGGAGGGTGGGCTAGCCTCACTAATTTCATTGACCAGGTATCAACCTTTGGTCTATTTGCCAAGTGCTATCAGTGCCCCCCTACCAAGCCGCCTCCTCATTTCAATCACACAGCACCTCATCATCCCTGAACTGAAAGCTCTCTCTCTTTCTGCTGTGGTGCCTTCGTTGTATTGTCTCTCTTTTTGTTTAATCTCCATATAGATGTCTTCATTCTGGCCAATGGATGCTTGACGTTCCCTTATATATAACAAGCCTACATCATCATCATCATCATGTACTTGGTGATAAACATTATTGCTAGCAACGTGATTGATGTTATTGCCATGGAGCGATATCGAGTCTAAGTTTCTAATAATGTCTTGCTTTCTCAAAAGACCGTAGGATCATTATGATGCCTAAACGGATTTCACTTTATAGCTAACGCAAGGCAATAATTTTGAACTTTTGTTGTTTGGAATGCAAGTTTTGTGGAGTACTTTTTAAGTGGACCTTATGGCTCTCACTACAGAATTTTTAAATGAAACCTTTTTCCTAATTATATAGAAGTGACATTTAGGCATGATTAACAGGCTATATACCTAAGATTCACAGGTTAGCGGAGTCACAAGAAGAAATGAGTATTGAGTTCTTTTCTTATTCCAAAATAGGAATTGATTTTGCTGGTTTAAGAAATAATCAAATATTGCAGGCTTTTCCTCAGTACTTTTATTTGGTGATCTTAATTTGTGACTTGTACTTCTGGGCTCTGTTCCTCACACCCCCCAAACATTGCCCTATTTCGCTACTAATTAAGAAAATAAATTGGTATTTGTGGAGGAAAGTGTACCTTGGATTAAGGGGAAAACACCAAAATGTCCAACAATGATTGTGATTGACCCTTGGTGGTTGAATCAAAATCAGGACCGAGGTAGTCACCTTGTCTAAAAAATGTGTAAGGATACTTACCATTTCTAATTTTGGAATTTTTCAAAATTTAAAGGAATAAGGGAATTATGAACGCGATAATTTATTTTATTTTTTCTCCTCTAACTTAATGAAGAAATACATATAAGTACACCAAAATAATTAGAAAAAATACAATTATCAATCTTTATAGTTTTATTAGGTTTTGCTTTTAATTTCTGTAATTTTTTTTTCTAATGTTTTTAGTTCCTATAATTTTAGAAAAATTAGGTGACATTTATATATCTATAGTTTTAGTTTTTTTTTTTAGTATTTTTAGTTCTTATAAAGATTGAAAATACTAAAAAAAATTATAAGAATTAAAAGTAAAACTTGATAAAACTATAGGGATTGATAATTGTGTCTTTTCAAATAATTAATACTAGAATATATATATATATATATATATATTTGTGTGTGTGCGTGTGCGTGTTGGAAAAGGTAAAAAATTGATAAATAGTTTCACATTGAATGCATGTTTAATGGACGAGAAAGTATTTTCTAAAAAATTGAGAAATGTATTTAGAAAGAAAATTAGGTTAAAGTGTAATTTTATCCCAAAATTATTCAACATAATAATATAGCACTTGAACTAATTAAATTGAAGCAATGTTACCCTAACATTTAAAATTTAAAAATGTCTTTTATCTGAAGCAAGTGGGTCCATTTATTTGACACATATGATAGTAATCAGAACACTTGTAGAATAGGCTTTTTTCCAAGCCTTTTGATCTCTCTATCCATCCCATATGTAAGCATTAACCCAAACATTTTGAAATCGCAAAGGAGGGACCAAAAAAGATGCTCAAAAGTCACTAGCACATTCCATCCAACCAAAAAATGCTTGTACCAAGCACATCCATATCCAGAGAGAGGTACAAAAATTAAAAACCACTAGCTAAATAAAAGAGAGTAGAGAAAGAAGATGATACCAAAGAGTGCCCACAACGTGCCAACGCCTTGTGGATGGCTTCGAATGTTGGTTCATGTAGAAAGCCCATAAATCTTCCAAGCTTCTAAAATTCATGGCTTCCAGAGTCTCATAAGCAAACACACTTTATGTGATTGGAAAAAACAAAACCCCAATTAGAATTGAAACTAAAAGACTCAGATGGTTATGAAATTGAAGGGACTAAATCCACAAAGGCTTTGGGTACTCATGAAATCAGTAGTAGATTAGGAAGACGATGAAAATGAAGAATTTTGATGACATCCAGAACTGTGGTGAGTTGATTGAATCACTTGGGAGAGCTGACTAGGGAGGGGTTGGGGTGCAAGAGGAGGAGGAGGCGGTGGCCATAAACTGTGTGGGTGCCTTGAGAAGACTAAGAGTGGAGAAGTGATCTCCATGTTCAAATCATAGAATCCACAAGTAGTGACGTTGGAGAAGGAGGAGGTATATTTCTTAAGCAACAGGGGACGACTTTATGAAGGCCTTCGAAAAGTGCCTAGGCTATTCTCAATTTACTTTGAGATGTTGGAGGAAAGCTTAGGGGCAACTAGTAATAGGAGGTTGATGCTGGAGAGGGATTGTTCGAGGAGCATTGTTAAGGCTTTGGCAATGCAAGGATGATGAGTCCAAGAGGAGTGAGAGAGGGAGGTAGCGAAGTGAAGTGAGGGGCTGAAGGAGGAGTTTTGATCCGTGGCTTTCATTGGTCAAACTTCTTACTCTCTCGTTAACGATTAAATGTTTGGACCTTGAACAACAGGGGCAATGTTGCTCCAATTTAATTAATTTAAAAATTATATTGTTATATTGAATAATTTAAAGACAATATTAATTTTTCACAAATAATTTAAAAATAAAAGTATACCTTAAGTCAAGAAATTTTGAGTATGGGTATTTCTTATTTCCTTGTGTGTGGTTTTAAAATTTATTTTTATCTTTTACTCATATATACATTTAAATTAGAGGACTTCGAGATTCTAAACTTAATGTGAAGAAACTAACGCTATTTTTTTTATAACATTAATTAACATTATTTTTTAAGTAAATTAAATTCTTACGCATTAAATTGCCAAATTATCAACTTCTCACTATTCACAACACAACTTTTAAAAATATGCATTTTAATATAGGTAATGATATTATACACACAACAATTTAGTTGGGTTGTTGAGATGAGAGAAGTCTGTCTTTTGTTTTAAATATTTTGCGAGATAATCACTTCTGTTAACCAAAATATTTTTTTTTCACTTAAAAATATTATACATACACATCCACAACCGTACCTCAAGGCAATTTGTTTAGGAGACATTGACATGCATTTTGCATTTCCCAGGAAAGACAAAATTCTTTTATGAAGCAGATAAGAATATGGTTGAAATTTTTAAGGTGAAATGACAATTAAGAACCTATAACAACATTAATGGTAATTACCTACCTTAAATTATTAAAATGCCAATAATAAATTATGGTCCTTACTTTCAATCAAAAATGTGAATTGTCAGTTGGGAGATCTACTAAATATAATTAGGATTACTTATAATGTTAGTTGAGAATTTATGAAAGTTAATTGTACATTTTAATTTTTTGCTATCAATATACATATAAACCACTTGAAAAATTAAAAAATAAGCCTAAGACTAATCGTAACATTAGTTAAAAATTTATAAGAATCAATTATAAATCGTAAGGCAATCACTTGTTTGTTGTCAATATATAAATAAATTATTTAAAAAATCTACTAAATACACTAAAAATTAATTATAATGTCATTTGAGAATTTACAAGAGTTACATAAATTAATCACTTGTGATTTTTTGACATCGCTTGAAAAATCAATGAAAGATGATTGGAAATTTTTGTGGCTTTAGTTGAAAATTTTATTAAAGTTTGTTATAAATTTTAAGCTAATCAATAAAAGATAATTTATTATAAATAAAGATTGTGTTATTGACATTCACTAAGTCAAAGTCTATAATTATTATTAATATTTTTATGAGTCTCTAATTGTCATTTTTTCAACTTATAAAATCATTTCATGTCAAAATTATCTCCTAAAATTTGTAGGAATGTTCTCCTTGTGAATTTAGTGCAGCGTATTTAAAAAATTAGAGATGTCGGACTGTGTACGCTTACCAAGGTCCCAAAATTTTCATGATGTCCCCAAGGTGACCGTTGAAACTTGAAACTGAGCTCCTCCCTCTGATTTTAAAAGCGAAGTACATGAATGAAGGTACTATAAAACTTTTAATTTTTTAAATTTATTTTAATTATTAATTTATTTTTTAAATTTATTTTTTTATCAATTTCATTTCTTATATGTATATTTTTTAAAATTATTACATTATTCTTTAAATAAGTTTTAAAATACAAATTAACTGTTAAATTAATTTAATGTGTCAAGTATTTTGACAATTTGACATTCATATATAGCTGAATGAAAATAAGTCAATTCTCAAGTTAATTTAATTTTAATTAATATAATCCTTTATGTTGTGCTTATGTTGTAATATTGTATTTTAGAGCATGTTTGTTTTTCATAATTAATCACACTTCTTTTAATTAATCTACATAACGTTCATCAATATTATGATATCAATGGGAGTATATTTTAATAATATTACCTCTTCTTTAAACAATAAGAATTAAATCTATAACCGAGATAAAATTAAAGTACTAAATAAATAAAAATTAAATTTAAAGGATCAAATTGATGATAAAAGTAAACTTGAGAGGGTAAAAATTTTGTTTTCCCTAATAATAATAATAATAATCATCATCATCATCATCAACCTAAAATGTATAAAATTCTTCTGAATTTTGTAACAATTACATATAACCTCCCTCAATTTAAAAGTTTAAAATTAACCCCATAATATTTAATTTTATTTTTCAAACCCTTTATTGTTAATTATGTTAATTTTTCATGAGTGTTAAAATGTCATTTAATTAAAAAATATTATTAAAAATTTTATTGTATAAGTATTTATAATAAATTTTTTATATTTTTTGGATAGTTGAGGCATTGATAATAACAAAAAAAATGTTATTATCACCAGATAAAATTTTAAATATTTACTTTGGTGTTAGTTTTTTTATTTTTTGTTATTAATGCTGCATGGTTTTTTAGTATTAAAAGATAAATTAATCTAACATGATAATATTTAAAATTTTAAATATTTTAGTTATGTGCATTACACTAATCTAACATGAAAATATAAATAAAATTAAAATAATAAAATCATGCACCATTGATAACAAAAAAATATTGATAAAATTAATATAAATATAAATATTTTAAATTTTATACAGTGATAATAATATTTTTTTTTATTATCAACATCTCAACTATTTGAAAAATATAAGAAATTTATTACAAATAGTTATGCAATATAATATTTTGGGTAAAGGGGCAAAAATAGTTACAAAGCAGTCAGTCACGGACACCTAGTATTCTAAAATAATGAAAATGGCAAAAATATTCATAACGTTACATAGATAGGTGCAAAAGTAATCAAACCGTTAACTTTAACTATTAAATGCTGATTGTGCATGTCATGTGTCAGTCTTTGTTGACGTGGATTAAAAAATGGATAAAAATACCCACAAAGTCATTGACCAGGGGCAAAAATACTCATAATATTATTAGAGTTGATGCAAAAGTGATCAATCCATCCAATCCCTTAAATATTGATCATTTAGCTAACACCTAAGTATAAGTTGACTATTTTTTCACCGATATAGACAAAAATATTTCAAGATGAATTTTTACAAATGTTGATCGATCATTGTATGAGTATCTATAATGTTACTTTAGTAAGTGCAATAGTGACCAATCTATCAAAATCAATGTCATATGGTTTCTTTCCATCACCACATATCTCGCTCCCTTCCTTTCTCCCTCTCTACTCATTTTTCTTGTCTACAAAACCTGAGCTTTAACATAATAAGATAGGTTGTTCAAAATTAAAGATTGAGATTGAGCACATATAGCTTAAGAACATTGTCACAACCTTAAACAATTGCATTTACGATATATTTAAAATTTTCAAATGATATTTATACAATAACTGATTAACTTTCAGAGAATTTTATTTAGGAATATTTTTTGTTTATATCAGTGAAAAAATAATCAACTTTGCTTAGATGTTAGCTAAACAGTAAACATTTAAGGGATTGGATAGATTGATCACTTTTGCACTAACTCTGACAACGTTATGGGTATTTTTGCCCTTGGCCAATGACTTCGTGGGTATTTTTATCTTTTTTTAGTTCACGTCAGTAAAGACTAACACGTGACATGCATAGTCAGCATTTAACGGTTAAAATTAACGGTGTTAGGTCAAAGTTAACAGTTTGATTACTTTTGCACCAATCCATATAACGTTATGAGTATTTTTGTCTTTTTTATCAGTTTAGGATACTTGGTGCTCATGGCTGACTATTTTGTGAGTATTTTTGCCCCTTTACCCTAATATTTTTTTAATAATATTTTTTAGTTGAATGACATTTTAATTTTCATGAAAAAATAACATTATTAATAATAGGGGGTTTTGAAAAATAAAATTAAATGTTAGGGAGTTAATTTTAAATTTTTAAAAGTGAGAGGGGTTATATATAACTGTCTTAAAGTTCATAAGGATTTTATGCATTTTAACCTAATAATAATAGTAATAATTTCATTAGTGATATGATATGAATGTTAGTGCTCTTGTGATACGAATCTGCTGTTGTGGGGGGCAAGTTTTCTTGTTTTGGTTCAATAGAAAAATTCATTGACCAAAAAAGAAAGAGTAAGTAATGAAAGTTGAAGCTACTTCTAATTTATTGACATTAAGAGGAAAATGTTTATTTCGTTTTTGTTTTTTAATAAAAAAAATTCAATGGACTAGTGTCTTATTTATTTAATACATCTCAACAAAGCTTAAAGTAGCCAGTTTAAAAATGAACAAAAAAATGAACCGCCTTTTTTAGGGATAAAAAAACTTCTCTCTCTATAGGAATTAAGCAACAAATTTTTTGACCAATGAAAGATTAATTTATTTGTTATTGTGATAGTAGAATATTAAAATTAATCCTAAAGTAACTCATCTGAATAAAATACTCTCTCTTAACTTCATCTAGCGTATGCATGGCCGAAAAAAAAACTTCACGTAGGGCATAATAGTGCATAAAAATATTAAAATACTGCGTATATCAAAATTCAAATTTGTAAGAGTGCAAAACCCGTATATGTATTTCAGGTCAAAAAACCCAGATGTGAATTATGTATTTCTTTCTCAATCACAATATTGTTTTGACAATATCAATCACAATATTTCTATGAATCATAAATGGTATTTTTAGAACATCTTTAAGTATTTGCAATGTCACAATATTTTTATCTTTAAACAAATAATAATTATAGTGCGAAAATTACTGAATTTCACAAACCCTAAATCCTTGAAAAAATGTTTAAATAGAAAACAGATTAATATTTTAAATTCGATGAAGAGGAAAATCAAATTTCCTGTTCATTGCTTGTGAAGCACGGGATTCGTCCCCGCAGTGTTTCGCACAAGGAATGCAATGAGGCTTGATCTGCGAGAAAGCTGAGGGATCTGCGAGACGAAACAACGCATTAATGATTTCTCGGCAAAGAAAAAGAAAGGTTTTCACCTCAGGGTCACCAATTTACTTTGAATTTCTTGAATTATAGTTTATTGTTTCTGTCTCTCATGGCTTCTCCTCTTGAGAAAAAGATAAATAAATCAGGTGGGGCTGGAGCGTATTGACGCTGCACTGGATTCCCTCTGTCCCATGGGTTTCTCCAGAGATTTGGTGCGTAAAACTGTAAACAAGCTCCTTAAGGTGAGTCCTCTGGAGGCTTGATAACTGTTAAAAAAAAGGTTTACGTTTCGACCTATAAATCTGATATAGGATTTGTGTGATCGTATGAGGAGATAAAGGATTGTGTTTCAGGCCTATGGCGGAGATTAAGGTTGGGCATTCATCGAGGATTCATCTTACAAGGTGGTTATTGAAGTAATCCTTGAAGAACAAGAGTCACAAGAGAAAGCTGAACTGGAAAACACACCGCCAAAGTTGTTGGAGCGTTCTTCTTCAGCAAAGGTTATCTTCACCTGATTTTAATACGTTCATTTCACTGTTTTCTTTCCGCAATTTATGACTCTTCCCACTCTTCGAGTCAGGTTCCAAAACAGAGCTAATATGAAGCAGTAGAATTTCCAGGCTTGCTTGTAGCTGATGGTATAATGATGCTGGGAAAGAAATGGTTAACTGAACGACATTGGAACCTTTTTAACTCTAATGTGCATGTACTGATGCTACATTTCTATGTTAAACTGCTTCGGTGATGCAGTTCCTCAAGAGTCAAAATGGACAGTTTTTACATGATTCATGCTTTTGTCTTGAGTCAATCGAATGGCATCAGCTTTAGTTACTTAATTTCGCCCTCTTGATGATAACTAGCAAGGCTCATTTATGTTATATATAGTTCAAACTCTAACTGAAAAATCGTTATTCCCTTCTGAACTAGCATAACAGATAATTAATTTGATTAGAATGGGACTGTGTTGGATTACCAAAAGAAGAAGAAGAAGAAGAAGAAAGAAAAGGAATGGGACTGGGTTTAGGATATAAACAGAACTTCTCTATCTTTGGCCTGTCTCCACCCCTGGGTATGCATAAAGTTTACAACCTTGCATTGTTCAATGCTATGGTTAAGATGTAAGACGGTTTCTAAATTTCAACTGTCATTGTGATTTCTAAACCTGAATTTTCAAGTAAAATTGTAATCCTCATGTGTGTGTATGTTCATTCTTCGCTTTGTTAAAAGTCATGTCATTCTTCAATATGCTGAGTAGGACCTGTTGTTTTTAAATGTGGAAGATGCTCCAAAGTATTGAAAATAAATGTTAAGATCCAATTGCAAATATTTGAAGTAGAATTTGTCTCAACAAAATGATATACCTGTTTAGACGTCTGTTGTTAGTTAATCATACATGTGGATGTGATTTTTTTTCATTTTTTTTCTCATGCCAAGTATTTCGGTTTTTTGTTTCTGCTGTTCAAGTTGAAAGTAGAATGTTCATTTTAGCTTGCGCAAGTGATTGATTTTACTGCAAATTTCAAATGATATACTACACTATATTTCAGCAGTTTTGTGCCACTTTTTGATTAAGTCTCTTTTATGGTATTTGACACGTTTTGAATATGATTTCATTGGCTGGATGAGCACCCATTGTACTATTCATTCATATCATACAAAAATGGATGCGCATGGCTACCATTCACGGCAGAGCTAGTTATAACAAACTCTACTTACTGTTTCCTCATGTGTCTAACATCTAATTTCTCTGGAGTGAGAAATCTCAGGCTGAGTCTGAGGCACAATCTCACTCCTCTTATGCCCAATCCCTTCAAGATGATTCTCGATGCATCAATCAAACAACACTATCGGATGTCCCTGGGCACTCTCATACATCTCAGGAAAAAGTTACTGAAGAAGTTTTCTCTCTGGCCCAGGCACCAACAGATAATTCTAATCACCCTCTTGAAAATATCCTAGAACACAAGGTTGCTACAGAACAATGCAGGGCACTGACTGTTGCTGATGTTAGATCTCCTGAAATGTGTCCGAGACCATCAGTGGAATTGGGATCCTCCCCTATCGCAAAGAAGCGTAAACCCTGCTTTGGGTGGATTAGCGACGTTGACAATGACGAGAATGATTTAGTGTATCTATTGCCAGCCCCAGGAAAAGTATAAAAATCTAAACAAGATTCGGTTTACAAAGATACTCTAGATATGCTTGGCAGGTACACTTTTAAGTGACAATCAATTCTAGTATATTTAAACTATTGATGTCTGACTATGATTTTCCTAAATTTCTCTTGTTTGCTTTTATGAATTTTTTGTGACAATTTCCCAAGTTCTCTTATATTGTCTATGCTCTGATCTCTTGACATCTTGTAAATGCCGAATGCTGATAAATATGCTGCTTGTGGAATTCTTTTTTTTTTTTCTTCCCCTTTTCCGCGTAAGTGTTATATGATGAGAGAGGGGCTCTTGGCAGGTCCCCTTGACAGGCGGTATCCAATTTAAGATAAATTTTATTTAAGCTAATGCATTGTAAAAATTAAGAAATCTAAATAAACGATTAGTGCAATATAGCGTGCCATTGAATTTTTACTAAATGGATGAATTTTGAAATCAGAATAATGAATTAAAATAAAAATACAAATACGGAAGGGATCAGTTTAAGAATATTGTGAGCAACTCCTGCCAGTCTGATGAATTTCGATTTCAACCCAGAACTTAGGGGCCTCTCAGGCCCAGAGATCCCTAGATTGCTATATTTCACAATTTTATTTTGGAGGTGTCCTTTTCCATTTATATATATGTGGCCCCCTCGCTCCACGCTTTGTTTATTTGCTTCTTTACCTCTTACGTGCCCGGCCATACAACCATCATACATGAGCAATGATCTCGATTCTCAGCTACTGCAAGAAGTAGGGAGAGGTCATGCTGCCCTTGAATTTTGACCCCTAAAATTCATTCTATACCGATGGCAACGCCACGTGGCATGATCATCCCAAGGTCAGCTTCAAATCTTCCATTCGCACATTCCAGATTCTGCAAAGAGCCAAACCAGGGATGTGCTCTGAGTCGCGTACTCTCGCCAAGTTATATCATGATCGCAAGGCGATTAATCCAAGGGCCAAAATTCAAAAGCAGCATCTCGCTTGCTCTTTTTTTCAGGAGCAGAGAATGGATTCCCCAGGAGTCTGCGAAACGTTTAATCGCCGTGCCCAGAAAACCAAAGAAGCGTTTTAATTTCGTTCCTTTTCTTCCCCATAGAATGGCAGGCAAAAGCTTGAAGGTAGGGCAAATAAAAATAAAAGAAAAGACAATTAGGCTATAATAGCCATTACATCAAAGCCTGTTGCAACTCATCCTGGTTATACCCACGCAACTAGTTGTTATAGTCTGAAGTAATACTAGGTCACAAAGAACCGTCATGTGCTTCTCTGGCGAGTGTATCAGCGCATCGTAGTGCATCCCTCGAGTAGTGAAGAATCTCGATATCCCAATCACTAAAGAAGAAGCAGCAGCCGCCTTCACAACTATGGTCTCCAGGTCTCGGGGCCGAACCAGAAAGGTTCTGCATTTCCCAGTCGCTCTCTCGTTTCCGTCCTGTTTAGTTTACTGCCCACTTTCATTTTACATTTCGCAGCTGCCCCTCCTTTCTCCCTCCTCCAACACATAATTCCCCTCTCGGCATTCTCGCATTTCCCCTTCCTCACTGAAGTTTTGAATTTACATGCAGAACAACGCACCTGGTAATAGAAGAATAGATGCTGCTCTTGACGCTATGCTTCCGTATGGATTTAATGAAAGGCTAGTTCGAGAAACGGTTAACGAGCTTCTAGATGTTGGTCTTCTCTTTCAAACTCATCAAATAGTAGATGTTTTTATTTCCTTTATCTTTTTTTAATACCTGAGGTTTCTCTAGGTTTATGAAGGAACCCAAGGGTGGCCCTTTATTGAAGAGCATTCTTACGAGCTCCTAATCGAAACCATACTTAGCAAACAACAAATTTCTTCAGAAGAGAAGGTAAATACACGGACTGAGTTTTATTGGCTCCCATTTTACGTTTTCCTTTCGTTCTCTTTACTCATCTATTTTCTCCGAAGTATCGGTATGCTAGTATTTGACATTTATCTTGGTTGCTCCTTTAACAAAATGCTTTGCTTGATTCCTAAGAAATGGTGATGGGGAAAAAAACAGCAAAAAGGACTTCTGAAGATTTCGTTTTTAGTTTATTGGGCTTGGCTTAACCCCTTCTATCAACAAAACTTGCCTCTATATTTACAGATATCTGTCCTAATGCCTCTTAAATTCTAGGGTACGATGCGGGGCTACCCTAATATCGGCCAGCACAATATAATTCTTCATGGTTCCCTTCATTACTCCAAAATAATTTTCTCTTTCATTTCCCTCTAGCTCTCTAACACACAAACAGGTAACAAGTAGCAGCTAGGGTTATGAAATTATTTGTGGTGAATCCATTTTCCTTAAAACGGCGCTCAAATTGTAAATGAAAGTTAAGATCCATTGCCATACAGATCAAGTAGACTGAGAACTTGGAAGAGGCATTTGTATGTCAATAGTTTTTCTTATTTAATTCTCCTAATATTCTGGTAACTACAACTTATCTGATATGGTCAACTGGATGCTACTTATTATTATTATTATTATTATTATTATTATTTTTACTGGTATTTATGATGCATATCTGTATTTTCCCACCATCTAAAGTTGGTGTAGTTAACTACATGGTATTATTTTATTGTTATTGATGATTCTGGTAATCTAAGGTATATAGTCATTGTCAAAGAGGAAAATTTCCCATGTATAAATACATGAACTTTGCTTATTAGCTATTATATTTACCAAATATTGAAGCTCTTTAGTAGATATTTGCTGTTCCTGACAAATGATAATTGTGATCACACCAAGCCATGGGAGAAATTATCTCCTTATTTCTTCATGCACTTTGAATATCAAAACATCACTAGCATGATGTCTCAATTATCTGCAATTTTTCTGGGGAACTAAGGAGGCTAATCCAGCTCATGGCATTAACCTCTGTTCTGCTGATAGTAGTAATGGATAGATATTATGGACAATTATGTAAAAGAATTATGTGACAATTATGTAAGACACATTATTTTTACTCTCTCTGCATAAAGTTATGTAAAAGAATTATGTGACAATTATGTAAGACACATTATTTTTACTCTCTCTGCATAAAGTACCGCAGAATATGCAGTTTCGCATACAAGTCCATTTCCTAGAAGACCCATGTGAGTAGGGCAGTAGGCCCTGCATGTTAGTTTTTTCTAGCTTTTCATAGCGCAAAGCTTAAGAAAGGCTTTTTTTTTTTGTGGTAACCTTTTTTTATCTAATATGCTTTTACTTACCAGAAAAGCAAACACCGCTTCAATTTTATCAATTTATAACCACCTCCATTTTCAAATGCACTATCAGCATTGAATCTCCGTAAAAAGTCACTGATGTCTCTCATCTTCCCCACCTCTTGCCACCAGGTCTCTCTTGCTTTCTCCACAAGGCCTCGTTTGGTTTGCAAAATGGAATAGAATGAAAAGGGAATGTTATAAAAGTGATTTTTAAGATGTGAAATGTCATTTGTATCCCTAGATATACATACAACTATATCCATGTGTGATTCAATGAAGTTTTACGTTGGTTGTTGAGGGCCTAACACAATCCTCCTCCTTTATCCAGACTTGGGATCGGCTGTAAAACATGGGTGATCCCTAGATATAAATAATAAAATGAAAATAATTGTTGATAAATGATTACTGGGATATAATAGATATTTCTCATCTTGATTTTTGTGTAATGGAAAAGGAATTCTTTTCCAAAGTTTCTACTGAATGTAGCCTAAGGGCTAAGAAGCACGAGACTCAGAAATGGAGTGGAATATTATCTGCACCTGTTTGATGTTCCTATATTCATTATAGTTTACTAAAATTGAAGTTCCAATATGATATAGTGGTACATTCTTCTTCTTCTTTCGTTTCTTGTATTTTCCTCTTGGAAAAACTGTTCAACTTTAATTCTGCTGAAATTACAAGTTTTGGAGGATTTCCCTTGTTTGGATATCATCCAAGTTTGTTAAGGGACTCTATAAAGGGAACTGCTTATCTATCCCAATCTTTCAGAAAAGAAACATGATGAATTTTTGCAGGATGATATTGCAATAGGGGAAGGAGAAACTGTCACATCAGTTGATGTCCCCACACGCGTGAATTCTGAAGCTGGCTCCTCTAATCTGGTGGCTGAGGGAGTGGCTCCTCAGACCAATGATGCTCAAGTCTCAGCTTCACTTGGTAATCTAGAATTTTTTTTTTTTTGGGCTTGATCTAGAATTTGATAATTAAATTGCATAATTTGATCTAGCCATCGAGAAAATGACAGATAGGGAGCTCCACAATCCAGTAATAATAGAGAAAGACTTCAAAAATTAAAATTGTTTTTAGTGATTGAAGTTGCCACTTTCTTTCCAGAGCTACTAATGCTTTTCAAAGTTATCATTCATTCTATCTATAAATTTTTAAAACCTAAAGCATTCTTAAAACATCAATGATACTAAGTTATAACTTTGGTCCTTCAAGTAAGTTTCTATCTTTCAAGTTCAATTTGTATTGTGGAACTTTAACAGCCCCTGTCATCTTTGATATCTTGTAATAATAAGTTAACTGGGCTGGCAAGAGTAGCAGTTTCCTGAACTTTCAGCTCCAAACACAGCCAAGCATACGGTAATTTTTAAGTTGGACTCACCCATAAATCTATTTTTTTTTAAAAAAAAAAAACATGCACCTGATCGATAACCCACTGGCTGATATTTGATTGTTTTATTAAAGGACTAGATTAAGTACACTACGCTTATTTGGTGTTCCCTATCAGCGTTCCCTATCAGCTCTCCCTCCCCCCCCCCAAAAAAAAAAAAAAAAAACCTCCCCCTTTCATAGTATTTACCAACTAGCCTCATACATTTGACCTGTGTGTGTGATTTTTTCATGGGATATATTTTTATTGGAAAACTTGAAAACAAATATTTAAGGAACTTCACCTAAATTTTGTCCTTTATTAAAGCCAACAATTTCCGATCAATGGATGGTAATTGCAAAGAGGGAGTAAACCTTGTTCATCTAAAACTAAAGCCTTGACAAATTCAAATGCCAGGTATGTTTCAGTTCAAATCATCACTGAGGAAAAGGAAGGAAAAAAAGTTTGTATGCAAAAGATCATTGAAAATTTTTCTCCTGTCCTTTTATTCATTTCAGAACACTGTTTTTCCCAGATGTTGAGGATTCAACTCAATTCCGGTTGGGGGCAGAAAATGAGAGAAAGTCTGTTGATGATGCCATTAGGAGCAACAGAAATTCAGGTGCTAAGAATGTGAAGCTTCCGGTGACCCAACCTTCACAACCATGCGAGGATGCTCCTATCAAGAGGCGTAAGCCATGCTATGGATGGATTGGCAGCGATGCAGACGATGAGAATGATCTAATTCATCTCCCTGTGCCGCCATTGCCTGAAGAGCTAATGAAGTTGCTTCAGCAGAATGCAGCTCCCAAAAGTGGCAAACGGGGAAGGCGCAAGAGTAGGTGGGATGAGAAACCAGATGACTTGATAAGCTAACCCCTTGAGTAGTTGAGATGAGAAACCAGATGATATGATAAGCTAACCCCTTTTGCTTTCTTTCTTTAGATCCTTTCTCTACAAGACTTGGTCTGTACATGTCAGAAGATTGATCTCAACTATATTTTTGTGAAGGGTATATACATTGTCTTGGGCACCATATAGGGAATACACGTTGAGTTCTCTTCACCATATAGGGAATACATGATGGATTATAACGATGGCTGTTGGTGTGGGAAATGGAGCTTATTTGTGATGCTGTTGTACTGGATGTGAAAGGAGATTTTCTCAGCATATTGGATTAGATTGTGTTGATGTGATTTTTGACATACTGCGCGTAGTCTTATCCTATGGCCTAGACATAGTGGCGTGAAGTTTATTTTTCTCAATAAAGGGTTGCAGGTTCGATTCCTTAAGCTTCTAGCTTACCTTACGTAATAATAATAATAATAAATCCTTCTTGCCCTTTTTACAAGAATTCTTTAATCAAATCAAATTAGTTAGGAGGTTTCTATTTGTTAAAAATTATTATAACATTTTAAAAATGTCCTTAATAACCAATCAAAGTTGGTGTGAACAGTAGGGTAATTTAAGTAAGTGGTTGGAATTTGAATATCAACTTTTGTAGATGTAATAATTTAATTGAAAGGTATTTATATTTTGTTTTTAATATTTCAAGTGAGATATTTCTTCTGTCAGTGTAACCTATTCTTTGTACCTGAAAAAAAAAAAAAGTCCTTAACTTCATGAAAAGCATCCTGAGTGTTCTTCGATCACTCGTTCTTGTGATAGACTGTAAAACAGAGTGTTGTAATACTTAAGACGCATGAAATCTGGCAAGTTCAAGTTCAACCTGCTTCTCAACCCTTGGATGGATGTAGAATGTGGAAGAAGTGGCTCGCTTTCTTAATACCCGATCCACTCAGCCTCCTTATCATTAGTTTACTTAGCAACGGCCTTGAATTATACATCCGTCTGTCAAACTCAGTTGCGAAATCAACTTAGCCAAGGAGGTTTTAGGGGTCTGGCCCCTCTCTCGTTCTTGGTCATTTTTCTTTCGGATTATGTGACTACTTGATATGGTGACAAGTGACAACATAAACCTATTAAGGATGCAAATGATTACCCCTTTCCAAAATATGGGGATTGAGTGCTAGCTGTAAGGAATTGTTATTTCTTACATTTTGAAGGAATATCATACTTCAACATCAGGTCAAGGTATATAGACTGCTTCATTTTCCCTCAAGTTTAGGCTAAATATTATACAGGAAAATCACAGTCAAGCTCTTCCCAAAAAAATTAATCATAGATGAGAGTTAATGCAGAACGGATTATTGTTAAAATAGAAACTTGGTTTGATTTTTTTCAAATAAAACTTTTTATTGGTTTTTATCTGTGATAAATTTTTTTTGAAAGTGGATTGAATGTAATTCTCTCATATTATAATCTTAAAAATGTACTATGCCTCTCATGCTACATTATTGAGACACAAGCTTAAAAACTAGAACTTTGACAGACTGTTTGTGGATTGGAGCGTGTTTGAGAGAATATTGTCAATAATGAATTACTTTTTTTCCAAAAAACTAATTTAATAAAGTGTATAATGTACCCACTAATATATATATATATATACACACACACATATAAGATTCTTTCTAGATTTTTTTAATGTGGGACGTAACAATCCCAATGATCAATTCATGATGTTTTGAGTGGCAACTCGAAAGGGCCCACAAATTGGGTAAACTTAATCTATATCTCATATCATTTTATTATAAAATTATGATTTACAAAAAAAACTAGCTTATTGAAGTACAGAACATGTTCAATGTAGAAGGTAATAACATTCCCATAATCTCGTAAGACAGAGAAGACGCCCACGTAGCAGAAAATTACATACATACTCGACTCAGCATTGGCTAGACAGGGATGGAAAGTATCTTTCTGAAAAGCGCAATGCAGAATTTATTATTTAAGATTAATTAATAGAAAAGAACACGAAGTCTAGCACTATGATCCATAACTTAACACGTGTCAAAAGTTGATTCGCTGGCCGAATTCGCCGTTCCCTGTTCTCGAAACGGTGGAAAATATCTGCGCAGAAGCCAGAAGGAACCCAACCCCCAACGAAATCGTGGCTCGTCCCAGATAGATTACAGCCCCTTGGACTGTAAGGCCTTGCGACTTAAATTTCCCTGGCTAGTTTAAAATCTATAATGGCAATAGGGTTTCATCTGAATTAGAGCTCTTTCTGCATTCAAATAAGGAAGCGTAACGATGAGTGTTGCGGCAACTTTTCGCGGGAATCTCATCCTTCTATCCCGATGCAGCTTTTGCTGTGATATTCGATTTCAACCGTGCCTGCCTCCTTCCGATGGTTATCGGCATTTACGGTTTTCTCGGAGTGGCTTGAAGATAGTTCGGAATCGACGGTAAGGGTTTGTTTCCCTTGTGCTGGTTTTGATGGGAGTCGATTTCTATTTCGCGATGAACTGATTTAGCTTCAAATGATGATATGGTTATCGATTAAGATCAAATGGGAAGCGAGAAACTGCTTGTAGAGTTACTGAGCCACATTCCGAACCAGATGGTGACAACGAGGAGGTACTTCCAATCAATTACTGCCTCCATTTCAAGTTTCTTTTCGTTTTGATCATTTTTACGTCGTAAACATGTTCAAGGCAGAGCTCTGTTAGTGCTACTAACCCTTTCTCATTGGTTTAACATGCTCAGGATTCTTTGGATTGTGTTAAAATATGTTGATAAAAAATTTTAAAACTTGTTCTACTTGTTGGAAAGGTAATTGGCCTACGGAAGAGATTTGAGTAGAATTTGGAAGACGGAATTGTACTTATTTTTGTGGAAAGAAGTGCATATAAAGTTGAGAATTTTGATTACCATACTAAGGGTGGCCTGGTGCTAATATTGTCATTAGTGCTTGGCTTGTTAAAAGTTCTAAATGATGCCATCAAGCAGAAGTATGAGCGTCAATTCAATAAGTTGCTGCTGGTAATGGACGGGTCCTTAGACTGTCGATTGAAATGTTCATGTTTCAGCAAATTCATGATCATGGGATATTTTTTTATACTTTAGCTAATAGAGCGACGTAAAATGTTCATTTTTATAAAAGCCCTGAACCCTCTGTACTCAAGATGACTAGTTTTATGTGATAGGTGGGTCTTTTAATGGATTATATTCTTACTTGCCAAGGGACGTTTCTTGAATGTTCTTAGCAGAAAGAGGCACATGAAAATGGAGAAACACAATCTTCGGTAAATTCTCTTGAGCAAAATGTCTCTCAGTCTTTAGATGGGGAGCAAGTAAACAAATTTGACGATGAAAATCTAGGTCAAAATAATGAGCAGGTAATCCATGACTCCTATATTTAGATTGAGTTTTGACGCACACATTCTTGCTTGGAAATGGGTGCATTGCCCTATTTTACTTTCTTTTTATTTACGAATGTCCATTGACTCTCAGCATTCTTTTGCCCATGGACATAAAGCACTCTACAAGCTACTTGATTAAATTTACATGAATTCTTTTATGCATTAATGACATTCAAAGGTGCTAATGTTTGTTGCAGTTACAGTTAGCCAACTGTACTTCTTTCAAGTTTGCTGAAAGTCTGAAAATTATCTGATGAGCATTATCTAATGCTTGCCTCAATAATTAAACCTTCGGACTTATTCTCTATTAGGTCATATTAATTAATTGTCCACACAAGAATGGTTTTTTCCCGCCCAAAAACTTGTTTCTACCATGAGCTCTACTTTATTTTCCAATTTCTTTCTTAAAATGTAAAAAAGAGAAATTGTTTCATTTGGAATTAGGAGCAGTATATGTTACTTGTCTTATTTTGTATTATTTGGGTTTCTCATGTAAACAGAGTGTAGATAGTGTAGAAGTTGCAAGTGGTTCACCTCTTCCAGGTGTGAAGGTGATTATAACTAATCTTCAGCCTTTCCTGCATTAGAAGTGGCATACTCCTTTTTTAATTTTTCTGTATTTTTGGTTTTCATATCTTCAAGCAGCCACAGCAACTGGAGGAAGCAATACAAATTCCAAAGGAAACGATTGAAGTTCTTAAGAACCAAGTTTTTGGCTTTGATACTTTTTTCATAACAAGCCAGGACCCATATGAGGTGAGATCTCACTTGCTTAAGCACACAAGATGTAGTCACATCATTTCAAAAATGGTTCTGTATACTATTAAGAATTTATTTTCAGACTTCAAATTCTTTTCATGACATTGATGATAATAATTGGAGTAAATTTTTCAGAAATAATGTCCTTGCAGAAGTCATTTTACATGTTACATTGAATTAAACATGATACCAATACCAACTTACCAAGCTAGATATGCAAAAATTCTTGACATAAAAGCCATTGAAAAATCTATAAGGGAGCAAGCAGCTGAATTTCCAGCCCCTCCCCCACCCCCCCCAAAAAAAAAGGAAGAAAAACTTAAAATTTCCTTTTAAAATTTGTTTTCTTATAGTTGTAAAAAATTTAAAATTAGTTGTAGGCCCCCTCCTCCAAAAAAATCATCATTTAGCTTTAATTTTTGCCCCCTCCCCCATGTTAAGCTTTAGATTTGTCACTCATAAAAACATTGGGCTTTACCTACCTTGCCAGGGTGGAGTCTTATTCAAAGGAAATCTAAGAGGGCAAGCTTCAAAAAGTTATGAAAAGATATCAAGGAGAATGCAGGTATGCATATTTATTTATTTATTTATATTATTATTATTATTATTTGTGAATTGGAGACTAATTATGTCCTACATTCAGTTACTGAACGTGATTGCTGGATAAATTCTGTCACAGGATAAATTTGGAGATGAATACAAGCTTTTCCTTCTGATCAATCCTGAAGATGATAAACCAGTGGCTGTAGTAGTTCCACGATCAACCTTACAACCAGAGACAACTGGTATTGATGAGCCCCTGTGAAATCTAGGATACAAAATGTGTTAGTGGAGCTTATAATTTGTATTTATGGCTTTGGTTTTTCTCTACAGCTGTACCTGAGTGGTTTGCTGCTGGAGCTTTTGGACTCGTTACAGTGTTTACCTTACTGCTTCGCAATGTCCCTGCATTGCAATCTAATTTATTGTTAGTGATTTCCCTCTGTATTAGAACTTAACCTTTCTCTTTCTCTTCAAGAGTTACCTCAAAATTGATTTGTGATTTAAAGTTTGTTTTGTCCACTTGATTTCGTATCTACCATGGAATCCATATCCTTTGATCTTCTTTTATTAAGCATATAAAAGAGATATTCTGGCAGATCTGCAAAGAGCTTGGATTTTTTTTTTTAAAAAAAATTAGTCCTGCATCTTGTTGTCTTACCAACAGTTGTATTATTAATCATCCAGATCAACTTTTGACAATCTCAACTTATTAAAGGATGGCCTACCTGGAGCCGTTGTTACTGCACTTATTTTGGGGATACATGAACTCGGTCACTATTTGGTTGCCAAAGAGACTGGAGTCAAGCTTGGGGTGCCATACTTTGTTCCTAGCTGGCAGGTTGTGTGATAAAAGCTTTTATCTTTAGGTTCGAATGATGCTTTCTACGTTTATTTTCTTTTTCTCTTTTCTTTTTTTACAATTGACACATTTTTCCATGCATTGCACGAAGTATGAGATGAGTCATATTGTTCATGGCTAATGAATAGTTTGACTTCCCAATGATTATATTTTATATTGATGTTGAGGATGCATGGATAAAGCAATATTCAACACACGCACACGCGCACACATTATGTTTTTTGATTTATGTCATTGAAATCTGTCTATTTTTTTTGTGTTTTCTGTTAAACAATGTTCTGGCCATTAATCAGATAGCTTGATTCTTTTGCCATCTGGGAATTTTTGCTGTTGCATTGTTTTCCTTGAAAAGTTATCCCAGAATCTGATTTGCATGACGAAGATAAATCCTTTTAATACTCCAGGAGTAGTCTATATAACAGCATTTTACGTAGAGTATAATACAAGGCCTTCTATTCTTTCTTTTCTTAAATTTGTGCTCCATAAATTGCTATGGCATGATTTCAATATCCTGGCAGATGCTTGGTTGGCATTACAAACAATTTTTCCTGTTGTTTGACATGTGCTATTTAATAACTTACTACATGATGGTTTGGATATTCTGATGAGTGATGTGGTGGCAGATAGGCTCTTTTGGTGCTATTACGAGGATAAGAAACATTGTGTCCAATCGGGAAGATCTTCTCAAAGTTGCAGCTGCAGGACCAATAGCTGGGTTTACCTTGGGTCTTGTGCTTCTGTTGTTAGGCTTTATTTTACCCCCAAGTGATGGTATCGGTATTGTTGTTGATGCTTCTGTGTTTCACGAGTCATTTCTTGCTGGTGGCATCGGTAAGCTCCATGCTTTAGATGGGGAAAATCGCTTCATATATGCATTTGTTATCTGCTAAAAGAAGTCTTAATTACATCCCCAACTTCCTGTTTGCTAGTCATATTGATTTATTGCTTGGTTCGCTAAGGATTTAGAAAAAGAATATAAAGCGAGTCTCGTGAACTTCTTTTCTTTATTATTTTTAGCAAAGCTGCTTCTCGGCAACGTGCTCAAAGAAGGAACTCCAATTTCTGTCAATCCTCTTGTTATTTGGGCTTGGGCAGGCCTCCTTATTAATGCCATCAACAGCATCCCAGCTGGAGAACTTGATGGTGGAAGAATATCGTTTGCCCTATGGGGAAGAAAGGTACCCTATATAGTAAAGTAGTAATAATTGGAACCTTCAGTCACTTCGCAGGGAGCCTCAATATGCCTGCAAAGTGGAGCGAACATTTTTCAATATAAGATCTTACGCCGTTCACTTCATTTCTTATTGGGTAGAAGTACTGACAAGAGTCAATTGCACAGGCATCATCCCGCTTCACTGCAGCATCAATTGTGCTTCTTGGATTATCATCTCTGTTAAACGACGTGGCATTTTACTGGGTAGTTCTCATCTTCTTCTTACAAAGAGGTCCCATTGCTCCTCTCTCTGAGGAAATAACAGATCCTGGTGAGAAGTATGTTGCTCTTGGAGTATCAGTTTTGCTACTTGGCTTGTTAGTATGTTTGCCATACCCTTTCCCATTTACAGACGAAGTCCTTGTGAGTTTCTAGCAGCATTAACGTCCACTTGAACTATGGCCGAACCATAATTTTTTCGGAGTACGTGGTAGGATTTGCGCGTGAATTATGATATAGGCAAACGATTGGATTTTTTTTTGGATAAAATAGCAAATTTAACCACAAATTTTTTCAGGAACGTCTGATAGCTTAAACTATCAGATGGTATAAAATAAATTATAAATTTTTAAAAATGGAGCATCCAGTTGTTCGTAGTTAAATTCAGTTAACAGACGTTATGTGGAGCTCATAATAACATGGGGCACGACACGTGCACGACACATTAGTATGATAAAGGTGTAAATTTAGCTGCGAATTATTTTGCGAGGAGCACTGTGTAGCCTTTATTATAAAAAATAGACCATCCAACACTTTTTTCTCAATTTTGACCAAACATTGTTTATTTTCATACATATGAAGTTCACAAAGCATTAATCTTTTTAATTTTCTTGCATTTGTTCTCAATATAAACTTCAGAAGAAGAGATTCAATAAGTTTTTATTTGAAGACATTCACAAGGATGATGTCAAAAAGATAGAAGCTTGATTTTACTATACATGTGAAAAGATTGGTTCTAACTTAATTTAGTGATGAATTATTTTTTTTATTTTGTTAACGTTGCCTTCGTGAATATTTTTCAATAAAAACTCTTTGAATCTCTTCTTTTGGAATTGAGATTGAAAATGAAGTCAAAAAAGTTGAAAGATTAATGCTTTATGGGTCTCATAAGTATGAAAATAAATGATGTTTGGTCAAAATTGAGGGGAAGGTGTTGGATGATCTATTTTTTTTAAAGTAGAGGCTATCCAACACTCTTTCAAAAATAGTTCATGATTAAATTTGCACATTTATCATGCTGACGTGTTGTGCATATGTTGTGCCATGTGTCATTGTTGGCTCCACATAATGTTCGTTAGCTGAAATTAACAGCAGGCTACTGGATGCTTTATCTTTTAAAGTTTGTAATTTATTTTACACCATTTGATAGTTTAAGTTATCAGATACTCTTAAAAAAATAGTTTGGGGCCAAATTTGTACCTTTATCTTTGTTTTTTTTAGGAAAAATCAGAGTCAAGGGGCACTAGACACAATTAATTATTCTATTGGACTAATATTATTATGTAAGATCAAAGGATTTAAATGTAATTAAAATTTATTGTGAAAAAATAAAACAATCTCTCATATGTGTGTGTGCATGTATATGCCCTTAATAAGTGGCCATTCGATTGAAAAAAATAAGTCTCATTTTTATTTTTATAATAATTAATTTTTTTATTAACAACTAAAAAGTTAACATTGTGATGGAGAGGAATAAGTGTGATTCCCTTCGTTAAAAAATGCAAGGCATTTTTAATTTTTAAGGTGTAATTATTATTATTTTTTCAAAAAGTATCTTTATTAATAGTGACTTTATATTTATTATAGGATGTTTAATAAGGATAAATATGAAAAGATAGGGTTAGTTTGAAAGTAGTTAATCACTTTATTAGGGGTGAGATTTGATAAAAAAATATTTTATATTTTTAAATAGGGGGAATATGATTTAGTGAATCTCTATTCGAAAAAAAAATTATTTTTATTTTAACAATAATAAATTTTCTTATTAATAAATCCTTATTAATGCGTGCATGTATATTCTCTTAATAAATGCCACGTCCAAAAAAATGTTCTCATTTTTATTTTAATAATAATTAATTTTTTTATTAACAACTCTAAAAAATTAACGTTGGGTTGGAGAAGGATAAGTTATGGTTTAGTGAATCTCTATTTAAGAAAAAATAAGTTTTATTTTTATTTTAATAATAATACATTTTCTTATTAATAATTTTAAAAAATTTACTTCTTGGTGGTTGAGAGAAATAAGTGTTATAATTTAAGGAATAAATTTTATTTTAATAATAATCAATTTTTTCATCACAACAAATATATATAAAGGGATATTTGTTTTTTCATAATAAATTTTAATTACGTATAGGTTTTTTTATTTTGTGGAATAATATCAAAATTATTTAGTCCTGCAGAGCAGAGCAATTAATTATGTCCAGTGATCTTTAATTCTGATTTTTCCTTTTTATCCCCCTCATCTCTCTTGTCCTCATAATAAACTGGCAGTGTGTTTTTTTTTTTTTTTTGGGTCAAAATAAACTGATCGTTATGTTAGAAGTTTCTTTTTTAAAAAATTTTACGGGTCTCACTTAACTGTTTCCAGCACATGCATGTAAAGCTGGGAAGGCAATCCATGTTATCGGCCTATGATTGTATGATTGCAATCCGTTGAAAAGAGGCTTTTACAACTTTCAAAACAAAGCCACTCTCGTACTATTTATGCAAATTTTCAGGACTAACAGATTTTAAAGCTCTGGTCAGTTATTTATTACTAGTTACCCATTAATCAGATTACGTCAAATCAGCAGATTCTCCTGCAAAGGTACAAACTCAGAGTGCAAGGTCACTTGCCTGGCAGTTAAATTGGTTTGAACTTGTTATTGCTAGCTAATTGTCAATGACTTTCATAGCATAGTATTGGTTATCAGAATAGAATAGGTAAATAGCAGTACTTAATTCCAGTACAGGTAAAGGACAGCAGAATAAAGCCAATAATCATGAAAGCTGAAGGCATGTGAAAGATATGATCAAAAGGTGAACAAGTTGGTTTCTTAACATCAACGTGACAAACGTTTAATTGCATCAAGGGCTGTGGCAATTCTGTCAATCACGTTCACTTTAAAATGAAGTCCCCTGTTGCCTCGTTGTCTTGGACTGTATAAATTCAAACTGTGCTCATTGCAAGCAAATGTCTAAATCACTATTCACACCTGTTTTGAACGTGGAAAACAATTCATTCACCATCATCCATGTTAATAATTTAACAATGAGGTGGCTCGGGTGAGTGAAGTCCGGTGTTCTCTCGTTGTCTGACCCATATAAATGATGCTCATTGCAGGCAATTGTCTCCGTCACAATTTGCTCTTAAACTTGACAATACAAGAATTCACAGATTAATCAAATATCCGGTCCACTTGATCAACTTTCAAGCCATTATCATTTGTATATATTTCTAGTTTACTAATGGGCCCAATTTATACACATCTTTGGATAGGTTTTGGTTCCAATTCGATTGAATTATGGCATAAAATAGAGGGAAAACATGATTATATCGTAGAGAAAGGAGAGGCAAAGAGAGACCAAAAACACGTTGGAGAGAAGAATCCTCGCTTGTGATCAAAACCGGTCAGAAAGTGCTCAATGTATCCCATGATTGTGATGATGTCTCTGTTCCAAATCGTTTGGGGATAAGGGCAGTGCAATTCAAGACCGTTCACGAATGAGGGGAGCTGGAAGAAGGTTCAAGCCCTCTGTTCCAAACCGGCGCCAGACAAGGAGTGAAGGAACAATCTTTAGTCACGGACGAGAGCGAGTGTTCTTGTTTTGCCCGCGTGGTCGTTCCACAACGTGGCTCCACCGCAGGCAGAAGTCCATCTGATACATGTGCTAGCACGTGATAAAATTATTAAATGAAATATCTTAATTATCTTTTAAAAATACGCTTGGGCCAAGCAGGGTTCTAGGGCTTTAAGCTGCAAAAGCTGTACAACAATTAGGGAGCCTCATTTTGATGATCTAATTTCATATTTAAGAGCTTGGAGGTAGAGTACGGAATTATTTATTTATTTATTTATTTTGGTTTTGAGCTGGGAGTTTTTCCCTTTTCCCTATTCTTATTTTATTTTTTATTGGAATTTTTTTGAGTTTTTTCAAAACGTCCTTTCAAAGTAGGGAGTAGCTTGCCTGTGATGGTTTTGTTATTTTATTTGGTTTTATTTATTTTTTTGTTAAACATTAATTTTTGTCTATAATAATTTATGGTTTCTATTTATATTTATTTTTCTTGATTTATTTGTCTTTCTATAAAGATGAACATTATATAATTTGTCTGTAGGTTATTTGATAAACTGAAAATTGAAAATCTAACTTAAACTTAAAAAGATAGACAGATATAACTAAATTAGGAATTATTAGAAGTTACTAATTTGCTTTTGATGGGAATCAGGTCATTATGTCAAATTAATAAGTGGATATTTGACATGTTCTGGATTAATGAGAGTTGATTGAAAATCAAGAATTAATGGTGGATTAATTCTTGATTGGCTCCAAAACAGGAAGTCTTCCCCCACATTTATTGCAAAATATTCCATCATATTAATTCTCTCTAATATTAGGTGAATTATTATGATCGGAATTTACTGATTCATGAAATCCTCTCACATTATCAAGAGAGGTGGGTGGCTAAAGGGAAAACACAATTAGTAAATATCTCTTTCTTTGTATTGATTCTTTTTCTCCCTTTTTTTTAGTGCATCTGCTATGTATCTAAGAAAAAGCTCTAGTAGTCCAATCTAGTGTGGATAGTTGAATAGACTTTGCAATGCCTAATTGGACTCATTTCTTGAATTATTTTATTTATAATATTGCTTCGAGAATAATTTAAGATCTACAATGTAGCTTCAAGATCTAATGAGAGTATTTGAGTTAGGCAGAAACCAATTCAATGCTAATTAAACACATCTTAATGCACTAAAAGGTAATTATGACACCTCAAGAATAATTAACTAAAAGGAAAATAAATTAACTAAATTAGAGTAAGTTATTCTAATAAGTGAATTATAATTCATGTTGCTTGTTTGAATGATTTGGTTCATTGCTTTTTATTTACATTTTGAAATAATTATTAAACTCCTTTTCAAAACAATTTGCTTTTATAAAATACCAAAGTTATTTTTCTTATTCAACTCCTAAAATATTTCAAAAATTATTACTATATCAACCTGGTATATTTGTGGTTGAGGGACTTGAATTTTATATATTTTAAAAATTGATAACTGAATTAAAATCAAAAGACTAAAAAATTATTATCACTTCATTTTAATTTGCAACGCATCTCCTCATAAGACGAGCAGGTGTGAATAGTTGGTGTCTCGTCATGCGTGGCCAAAATCTAAAGAAATATCGTCAACACATAAAAAATAATACTCCCTTCATTTTAAATTATAAAATATTTTTAAATAA